AGGCTTGGCATTCTAGGGGACATTTGCAAGGACTGGACAGTCTTTTTACTTTGTTTCCTCACCTCCCCCCAATCTCTGATTATAAAAGAACCTGGCAACCAGGCTCTGACAAGATAGTTATTTTGAGACACTCCCCTGCCATTTTCTGGGTCAGCCAGCTCCCCAGTTAAAGTCTCTTCATTGCCTCAACCCCTCGGATCCATTGGCCTGTCGTGTGGCAAGCAGAGCGAGCTTGGATGAGGTAAAATTTGGCTGAGCCAGCCAGGAGCCTTGCTGCTCGGAGCCAGCCGGCTCTTATCGGGGAATACTGGGGCAAGACCCAGCAGCTGCTGAGACTATTTGTCCTGAGGTTCTTTCCTTAAAGAGTCCCTGAAGTGGCACTGGCTACCTCCAGCACTTGGCCATTGAGACAAGGAACCCACAAATTTCTATAGCGTCCATGGACTCAATTTGTCTACCCAAATTGACAGCTGGTTCAGCTGGTTCACTCGTTTTGTGTGCCCTTCTGTGTTATGAACTGACAGGCTCAATTTTGGAGCGTGAGTCGCTCCAGTGAGCAGAGCAGGAGCATTTTCCCCCCTCGTTGCGGGCTCTTCCTTTATGGGACAAGCCAATATGGTTGGGGTACCCCAGGGGGTGAGCGTTGTTGGACTCTACCCTGATCTGGTTCATTTAGAGAACTAGTTCTTGTGGGGCAAGACCACCCTAGTTGGAATTAGCTCATTTGTTTTGTAGGTAAACTTATCTATCTGATTTGGGAATCGGTTCAGTTGGAACTGGTTCATTGCGGAGCTAGTTCTTGTGAGGGTGGGCAGCCTAGTTGGAATTAGTTCATTTGTTTTGTGAGGTAAATTTATTTACCTAATTGGGGAAATCGGTTCATCTGTGCAAAGATGCTGAAATTTTTCATGTTTTAGTTGGAATTCATCTGTGTCTTTCGTGTTTTGGTGTTATAAAGTTCATAAAAATGGGAAATGTTTCATCTGTCCTGAAGGAAAGATCTTTGGGGTCCATATTAGATATGTTAAGATCAGAACAATGACCCCGAATGGCTCACAATTAAGCAATCTGGTCAGAAGCACTTTACAAAGGAGAGGAACACTCATATTGAGTAGGCCCAGGGGCTCTCTTGGACTTGAGGCATCCAATACTAATTTCCTCTAGAGGAGTCCCAGGTAACTTTGATGGTGGGGGACAAGTTGATTGACTCTCTAAAACACACTACTTTCTTTTGTAAGTTAAATGTGCAAATAACTTTTACCCCAAAACAGCGTGATATCAAGGCTCTACCACGGCCTTTTTGACCAGTCTCGGGTACATTGGCTCAAATTTGGTGTGTTCTCCCCGTGAAGGGAAACTGCATTTATAAGGCACTTTGGGGAAGGTCACTGGTCTAATGGGACTGTGAAGTTATGTTAATATGACTTTCCAGCTTATTCTGGTTAATTTGGTAATGTGCAAATATCTGGTAATATGAGTTTCCTCTAAGGCTTCCTTTATGGTTTTCTTACTTCTTTCTCCTCAAACCCATGTGAACAGCTGAGCGGCTGTGGGAACAAGTGAGGAACTGTGGCCAGGGTTATTCTCTTGCTGTTGTTCAGTCGCTCAGTTGTGTCCAACTCTTTGTGACCCCATGGACTGTAGCACTCCAGGCTTCCCCGTCCTTCACCATCTGCCGGAACTTGGTGAAACTCATGTCCATTGAATCGGTGATGCCATCTTGTCCTCTGTTGTCTCCTTATCCTCCTGCCTTCAATCTTTGCCCGCATAAGGGTTTTTCCAAAGAGTCTGCTTTTCACATCAAGTGGCCAAATACTGGAGCTACAGCTTCAGCATCATTTGTATTTTGGTGTAATAAAGTTTATAAAAATGGGAAATACTTCATTTCAATTGCCCTGCTTCATTGGAAGATCTTTGGGGTCCATATTAGATATGTTAAGATCAGAAGACCAATGGCCCCTGAAAGGCTCACAATTAAGCAATCTTCCCCAAAGATCCTTCCAGTGAATATTCAGGGCTGATTTCCTTTAGGATTGACTGGTTTAATCTCCTTATAGTCCAGGGGACTCTCAAGAGTCTTCTCCAACACCACAGTTGATCACACCATCATGATTATATGAGTCATTGAGATCTTTATGGTATAGTTCTTCTGTATATTCTTGCCAGCTTTTCTTTATATCTTCCATGTCTGTTAGGTCCATACAGTTTCTGTTCTTGACTGTGCCCATCTTTGCATGACATGTTCCCTTGGCATCTCTAATTTTCCTGAATAAATCTCTTGCCTTTCCCATTCTATTATTTTCTTCTCTTTCTTTGTGTTGTTCACTTACGAAGGTTTATTTATCTCTCCTTGTGTTCTTTGGAACTGTGCATTCAGATGGATATTTCTTTCCTTTTCTCCTTTGCATTTCACATCTCTTCTTTACTCAGCTATTTGTAAGGCCTCCTTGGACAGCCATTTTTGCCTTTCTTTTTTCTTGGGGATGGTTTTAATCACTGCTTCTTGTACAGTGTTATGAACCTCTATCCATAGTTCTTCAGGCATTCTATTCTATTTGTCACTTCTGCTGTATAAAGGATTTGATTTGGATCATACTCAAATGTCTTAGTTCTTTTCGTTTTCTTCAACTGAAGTCTGAATTTTCAAAAAGGAGTTATGGTCTGAGTCACAGTCAGCTTCCCATCTTCTTTTTACTGACTGTATAGAGCTTCTCCATCTTTGACTGCAAAGAATACAATCAATCTGATTTCAGTATTAACCATCTGGTGATGTCTATGTGTACAGTCATCTCTTACATTGTTGGAAGAGGGTGTTTGCTATGACCAGTGCGTTCTCTTGGCAAAACTCTGTTAGCCTTTGCCCTGCTTCATCTTGTACTCCAAGGCCAAACCTGCCTGTTACTCCAGGTATCACTTGATTTCCTCCTTTTGCATTCCAGTCCCCTAGGATTAAAAGGACATTCTTTTTTGGTGTTAGTTCTATAAGTTCTCATACGTTTTCTTAGAACCATTCAGCTTTACCTTCTTTGGCCTTGTGGTTGGGGCATAGACTTGGATTACTCTGATGGTGAATGCTTTGCCTTGGAAATGAACTGAGATCATTTGTTTGTTTTTGAGATTGTTTTTGAGATCAAGGTTGTTTTTGAGATTATTTTTGAGATCAAGATTGTTTTTGAGATTGCACCCAAGTACTGCATTTCAGACTCTCTTTTGATGATGAGGACTAACCCATTTTTTCTAAGGGATTCTTACCAACAAGAGTAGATATAATCATCATCTGAATTAAATTTGCCCATTCTCATCCATTTTAGTTCACTGATTCCTAAAATGTTGATGTTCACTCTTGCCATCTCCTGTTTGACCACTTCCAATTTACCTTGATTCATGGACCTAACATTCCAGGTTTCTATGCAATATTGTTCTTTACAGCATCTGACTTTACTTTCATCACCAGTCACATTCACAACTGGGCATTGTTTTTGCTTTGGGTCCATCTCTTCATTCTTTCTTGAGTTATTTCTGTACTCTTCTTCAGTAGCATATTTGGTACCTCCCAACCTGTGGGGTTCATCTTTCAGTGTTATATCTTTTTGCCTTTTCATACTGTTCAAGAGGTTCTCAAGGTAAGAATTCAGAAATGGCTTGCCTTTCCATTATCTAGTGGATCACATTTTGTCAAAACTCTCCACCATGACCTATCCATCTTGGGTGGCCCTACAGAGCATGCCTCATAGTTTCATTGAATGAGACAAGGCTGTGATCCATGTGATCAGTTTGGTTAGTTTTCTGTGATTGTGGTTTTCATTCTATCTGCCCTCTGATGGATGAGGATAAGAGGCTTATACTTATCCTCTTGAGGATACTGGCTCTGGGGAAAACTGGGTCTTTCTCTGGTGGGCAAGGTCATGCTCAGTAAATCTTTAATCCAATTTTTGTGCTGATGGGTGAGGCTGTATTCCCTCCCTGTAGTTTGGCCTAAGGCCACACTGTGGTAGGAGAAATGGTTCAGTTCAGTCGCTCAGTCGTGTCCGACTCTGTGACCTCATGAATCACAGCATGCCAGGCCTCCCTGTCTATCACCAACTCCTGGAGTTTACTCAAAATCATGTCCATAAAGTTAGTGATGCCATCCAACCATCTCATCCTCTGTCGTCCCCTTCTCCTCCTGCCCCCAATCCCTCCCAGCATCAGGGTCTTGTCCAATGAGTCAACTCTTCTCATGAGGTGGCCAAAGTATTGGAGTTTCAGCTTCAGCATCAGTCCTTCCAATGAACACCCAGGACTGATCTCCTTTAGGATGGACTGGTTGGATCTCCTTGCAGTCCAAGGGACTCTCAAGAGTCTTCTCCAACACCACAGTTCAAAAGCATCAATTCTTC